TGATGGCGTTAGCATATTCATAACTACAGGGGTACATTTCCGTGGCACCAGAATAGCAGCTATGATCTCAGCATCAATGCAGTTAGAAACAGCTACGTCGTCATCTGCACTGGTGGAGCCGCTCACTGTCCGAAATGGTGCCAGAAAATGCTACGTCGCAGAATTCACCGAGTTCGCTGGCTTGCAAAGAAAGTTTACGACGGTGCTTCACTTGACATAGTTCGAAGCACCAGAGATACTTTTTATTGCTACATGTGGGTCAATGTTCACTTGAACTCGCAAATGAGGATGTACAGGGAACAAAGCCCAGAAGGCGCAAAAGACAACGTCGAGTTCCCACCGTCGACATGTTGGCGATTTCAACAGTGATGTTCCACACTACGCCCAAGAATTCCCATTTTGAAAAATTTTCTATTTTGTGTATTTTTTCCTGCATAAGTTGACAAAATTCTCTGCATATTTCTCTGCACAATAATATGTGTGTGTGCACCCCCATACACGCATACTATAAATGTATGTGCATGGCGTGTTTCAGACAATTGAAATCGTGCCTATAGTGCCTGTGCTGCTGTACAACAAAAGCGGGACGTTCATAACTTATGGGCTTTAGGAACACTGTAGATAGCGGGTTTAGATTGTAGCACTAGGAGTGAACTAGAAATTTCTCAACATAAATATCTAAAACAAGCCTCTACTGCTATGCTTGCGAGCTACCTTGACCAGAACCAATCGCAGAAGCCGCCTGTGCACAATGACAGTTATGTATCAGTTCTGATTAGTGAAATTGACTATTCCTGAAATTCTCTGCAGTGTCATAATGATTCTCTTTTTCCCTTTGGTTCAAAATGATGCATGAAAATTCCCCCAGAAAGAAGAAATTTTCTGTATGGAACATCACTGGATATCGATGCCACTTGTGGCACTTGTGGCTTTGTAGCTGGCAGCTACTGCTTTCAGTTGCTTTGATGTGAAAAGCTAAAAAGAATGTAGCCTCTGAGAAATGCATTTTAAATATGAAAACATAAAAAATACGTCACAAGGTTGCATATCTCGAAGTCCATGCTTTTAAGGTCCGCAGGTCATTTTGCGCTAAGAAACAAGGAAGGGAATGCAAACATTATGACAAGATCGTCGAGTCACTTCGCATTCTCATTTGGGTGTCCTCGGCAATCGGTCTTTTTGAAAAACACTACGCCCGCGCATCAAACATACTGGTGCACTCGCAAGCGCCGCACAACTAACCACATCAGCGCGATGGAATAACTCCGCCTTTTCCTCACCTGTGCACAAAAAGGGATAAGAATTTGTCAGACAAAGGCTGAAAATCGATCAATATTTGCTCAGAAAAATGCATTTTCTGGGATTCAGCGTGGCTCAGCGTTCGATATTGCGGATGACCCGCTCTGTGGGAGTTCAATATACGAGTGTGCCAGTCTCATAGTTTTGCATGGGAAATTCAAGAGAATTTTTCAACTGTTTGATGTAGTAAATAATTTGATGTGCAGTGTAACCTTATTACAACACAGCCCCATAGTGAAGGTGATTTTGGTCTGTTAAAAAAGGAGCATGTAAAATCCAAGTACTGTTACAACAGACCTATGGAAACACTGAATGGGTCTGTTATAACCAAGGAGAATTACGATTATTATACAGATTTATTCTCAACGGAGCACAAAGAAATAGATTTTTTTGAAAATAACATCTTCAGGTTTTGTAGAACATTTTCTACCTGATTTCAAAATATCTTCACTGAAAACTACGTAGAAGTGCAGTGAAAAGTTTCTTGCACCCGCTGAGGTGGTAAAAATTATTCTGTAAGTCACAAAAAGAAAAAAAAAAAATTCTATAAAATTATAGCTTCGAAGCGGCACAGATGTCCACCAACATTTTGCGCTCATCTTAAAAGTATTTAGTAAAGAGCATTTCATGTTCAAAAAGCAGATGTTTGAAATTCATGTTGAGGCCTCTGATTGTCTGCTGCTGCCGTGTTGCTCCAGTACGTCTCACTGGTCCAATGCTCACTCTGGGATATGCCTTTAGGATAGCGTCGTCTGCTTGTTGCGCGTCGAAAAGTTGTGTCTGTCTAAAATCGCACCACTTAGTGACGTTTTCACACTCGTTCTGTGTTCATGGGTCGGCGATAATTCAAGATACAAAAACGGCTTAGTTAAGGCAGCAAGCGAAAGTTCAGTCTCCAGATAATGATCGCGCGCTGCACTCATTGCGAACATCGCGCACGCGCGTCTCGAACCGACTGTCACAGCGTTGACTCGTTGGCTGGAAGGTTCTACTTATCGGCGCTTTGGACCTTGTAACAAAGATTACCGCAAAATAAATCTTTGTACTCGTGATTGAGTATGTCGTATTCTGAAACATCAGTCGACGCGGCCATGCATATCGCAGCTGCACTTTCTGTTCGAAGTAGTGCCTAGGCCTAACTCTAGCTCGAACTCGACATACGTGAAAGCAAAGAAGCCATGCTTCGTTGCAAGCAACAAGTCACATCAGCCGCTGGCTACTTAGAAGTGTGAATAGCCATTTTGCGCGTTGGTAATGGACATCAGCCAAGCTCGCCACAGACTGAACACTTGGAAGAGCAGTGGCAACGGTCTGCAATTTCGCACTTCGGCGCCCCAACACGCAAAATCAAGCATGCTGCACGCCGATTTTTTATCGCTGTAGCTTGGCATAACTAAGCATTAATGGATCGGAGATGGGCGGCCTTTGTGCTTAAACCAGGACGTCGATATCTGTGGCACTATTCCACTCCCGAAAGTATGCCAAGCGATGTTTGAAGTCGGAAGTTATAGAATTTAGGATGTCTGTGATTGAAAAGTCTTGGAAGAGAGTCCTAACCCCCTTCTTGGCCTCACATTTTGGTAAATTAGTATATATCCTAATGTCCGTTGTACCAGAATATATAGTAAAAGAAGTTCTATCGATGGAACAAATAAGGAAGTTCGCATAACGCTGCCAATTAGTATGTAGTAATTGAATGTCTGTTGTTGCAAGCAGTTCCAATGTAACGAGGGTATACTGTATCCGAGTTGGATATATCCTAGATCGACTGTAATATTAATTCATTTTACCATCTATACAAATAAGCTTGATGGCAGGTGTGAGACTAAAAGTGGGGATTGTGATGAAACTGCAATATTTTTTTTCTAGCATGTCATGGTTCTCGATTTCGTGCGTTTGTTGGACTGCGTGGAGGACAAATGGTTCATGTGAATAACATCATAGCATTGGCATTGCACTGCTGTAGGCAACATTGTTATAAAAATCATTGGCTGCAGAACAGGTACGATCGCACTCTGTTCTACAATTATTTTCTCCTTATGCATCGTGCACCGGCATGGCAATAAATAGTGGTCGGATGATCTCAAGTTCAGCATTATCTTTCGTCACATCAAAAAATATAAATTTGAAACTGTAAAGTTAGTCGAGCATTTTGGTGGCATTCTCAGTGTGAACATCAATGTTTTGTCTATTGTACTTTGCATGGAAGGAGGAATTTAAGTCAATGAAGTTTGTATTGAGCTATGTAGATTGTCAATTTTGCTGATTGTGTTATAGTATCAAGGTTTAACTGTACTATTCCAATAAAATAAGTGAATATGTCAGTTTTACTTTTAATATGCATACTAGAGGGTCACATCATCGAGTGACATGATGTCGGCCTGTCCTCACATACAACAAATTTCTGTTTCACTCAAAAAATTTTAGCAATGCCGCTTGGTGGAAACCTGGAAAACTCAGAGATTTTAAATTGTCACTCTTGTGAGACACCTGGAGCACACTCTATGGAAAATATTTTTTATGGAGTGCAGAAAACGTCGACCAATGTACTCCACATTTCTGAGAATCAAGGCATACAACTGGGATGTTTGTATCTTAAAAGTACTTGGTGTTTGTATCCTTCCAAGTTTCTGAACGTTGAAAGGTGAATGCCCGATGAGCGAAGCATAGTGCAGAGAAGCAGAGTTCACCAAAGAAGGTGCTACTGCAGAAACATTGCATAAAGAGGCCGGCTAACATTTCAGAATGCCTCGATTGTGTAGACTTGTTCGAGGAACAGCGCTACACAGAAACTGCATGGAATATGCTGATGAGTGGGTAAAACATAAGCATAGCCATGCGTGGGAGGGGCTGGGAAAAGGGCATGTTTGCTTTCCTGCCATGGTTGTGGTCATCTGGAATGGCAGTGGCAGGTAAATTACTGCTGCTCTGCACTTGCTGTAGCTTTCATGTGCCTTGCAACTGCTTTAATATCTTTCGTGCTCGCTTTGTGCATCGCTCTTTTTGTAGATGGCACACCTCCATTTAAAAGTGTGCTCACTTCCTCGCTTGTCTGTTGGATTTTTAGAGGCGAGGCAGCTCTTAGACTAGCCTGTGTAATGCCGTCCGTCCATGTCTCCGTGCCGTACTGCATGCTCCCCGCTGCAGTTGTTGGAATGATGCCAAGTAGGTAAAGTCTCAGCTGAGCGTTGTCGCTCTCTCCCTCCCAACACACTTAGGTGGTGTTGCTCCTCCGCCTGCTTGCAACGCACTTCTCTAACGTTTCACCCTCTCCACCCTCTACCGCCTGCAACGCTCGACAGCACGTTGAATGGAAACACTCTTTCGTCTCATTTATCTGCGACAAAACTTACACGAAACCCAACCTGCCTCCCGTGTGTTTGCGTTGCAAAGAAACCGTTCTTCCAGCATCCGCGTGGATGCCCATTTCAGCTGATTCAACAGCGTGTTGCTGCTTCGCATCTCATCATGGTTCTCTTCGGGGGAGATGGGCTACAATTTTTGGCAACCATAATATAAGGGGTCTTAAATCTTTGTGCTTGCACAGTATGAGGCGATCATATACAGAAAATTTTATGTGATGTTGTGGGCAGTTGGAAAAGATTGTGTTTGAGCCAGCCATGCTCTACAAGTGCTCTGAGATGCACATTTTCAACAAGACTCGTGTTTTGTGCATTCTTACAGCCAAGTGAACCTTGCAGGTGAGCGGCTGTTGTGCCAGCAGGTGCAGCTGCTGCAAGAGTCTCGTAGGGCGGGGCTGGTGCGTCTGGACAGTATAACGCTGTTCAAGCAGTGCCGTCGCTGGAGGACTGCCCACCGCCCCAAGCACACTGCCTTCAGCGAGCTGTTGGCGCATGTAAAGGTAATCATTGATTGTGTTATAATAGACCTTTTTCAAGCGCCACCAATGGGTGCACGAGCACTCGGGAGAAAAGTGTGTACGCCTTTGCTGCAGGGATGAGCCCATTAGTCTCACACTGCAGCCTTCCACTTATGCCATGCCAGAACTTTTCAGATCATGTGAATTCGGCTAGCTAAAACATATAATTGTGTAATGCAGTGATGGAAGCGCTGCTCCAATTGCTCCAAACTGCCCCTAAAGAGAAATGCTGATCCATGCTTCTTTAAAGTGCAATATTTGCTAATAACTTCCCTAAACCTGCTCCAAAAGGACCTTTTCAAGCTAAAAAGAATGAGGTTGAATCATGGGGCCATCCCGTGAGCCTAAGCGAAACCAAAAGCAAGCTTTACACACTATAATCCTAGTGTGCTATATACTCAGTGGCGTAAATCCAGAAAAATCTCAAGGGGAGACGCATATCAAGCCATGGTGTCCAATTCATATCCTAAATATGGGCTGTATTTTTATTTTAAAGGAATGAAATCATGCTTTCAAATAAAGTTGAAAAATATAAGCATGGTGTCCGAGCTCGAGCAATGGCATTGTTCTATTTAGTCTCTTTTTTTTCTCACCTTTTTTTCTATTTCCATAGTTGACACAGTTGGGGGGCATTTAATACAGGTCTGCTGTAAAAAATAAAAAGCCTTTTAAAAAGATGATTGCACTATACTTAACTGTTAGCTCAATTATATTACGTGCTAAAGCTTAATCTCAAGTGGGACATTTGCTGAAAGGACCCCAGCCTGAACACCAGAAAAGTCCGAACTCTCTTCAGCCCTGCCTCCCCCCCTCCCATGCTACAAAGCAAGTAGTTCTCGAACAGTGGCCATAATTTTCACGCATGCAATCATTACCTTGCAACACTTTATTGGTGTTGAAATACAGAATCCGAAGCTCAATGAATAAACGTGAGATAGCGCGGACTTCTGCGTCAGCTTAGCAATATATCTTTTGTTTAAATCGCACCCCCCACCGCGCTCATCTCGGAGTCCACGAAGAACCAATGCACATCTCTTGAAGGCGATGTTTCTGTGCGGTACCTAAGGTTGTACTAAACAAACAATGCCACATTTAACATAATGTTTAAAATTAAGAAATCCTTTTTTTTTTACGGTTTTGCAAAATGAAACAGGGGCAATATTCACATTTCATTAGGTTCTTTGCAATATTTTTAAGAAACTTTCGCTGCCATGTTTCTTTACTGTCTTCTGTAACTATGGCAACTATGACTCAAAGACAAGAATGGAGAAGCGATCTGAGATCGACTTCACGAATTATGATTCTTGTGCTGCCCTAAATACAGAATGTGCGTTTTCCCGTCGCCATACTTGTCATCCTGTTTGAGGTAAATGCCAATGTTTCATTCGATGCCTTGTTTCATCGAAATAAAGGCACGTAGCGCACATTGTGCTTAACAGTGGGGATCATTACATGCGTTGTCGTTAAGTTAATGGCCAAGGCATTGTACGTGGCTAAAGTGGCGCCGACTGAAAGTCGTCGGTCAAGTTTTTTTTTTCTTGCTTCGACTACTTGCACTCTATAGTGTTGTCATCACGCATAAGCCCTTGAATATTCAACTTTTTCAAAGCAGGGCCCAGTTTTGCTGCAACTGGGGTCACTACCATTGAATGTGTCTGTGCAGGCAAGGGGATTTTCTCTCTTTGGGGAATGCGAGTGAATATCGTGCCAGACTTTGCATTTATAGGGGAGGGCAATACATCCATCTTTTCTTTCATGGGACTCTAATTTAATATAAACAAGTTATCTCTATGCGTAACACATGCATGCAATACAGGAAAAATGAAAAAAATATATGCAAAAAGCAGGACTTCCTAATATGATATTGTTAAGGATGATACAATGTCTTAAAAACTGAAATGTGTTTTTTTTTTTTCACTCAACATTAGTTTTAGCGGCGTAGCTTCAGTGACGATCACGATCAATGTAACTGATCTTGATTGATTGTGGTTGCTGCGTTGATAATGATCGATGCAGCAATATTACATAGCTCACGTGATTTCCTGGTTTGAAGATCTTCACACCCTGTTTTTCATACAAGGCGTTTGTACTTCGAGCATGAGACAAGCGCTTACGCTTACAGACACTTCAATCTGGCATGTACATATGAGCCAGTGGCGATAAATTCTGTTAAAATGACTCAGCTGTGCCAATTGGCACACGTCAAAATAATTACACACACACACGATGACCACAGTTTGCTTTTTAATGCATACACCAATGTACATTCTCCCAACCTGGTTTGTTTACTTTCGTACTGTGTGACACTGGAAGGTCCTCTCGGTTGCTTTTTTCTCGCACCTCATCAGCACTTACAACGGTCACATGGTGCACGACATAGCGCATGTCGCAAAGGATCACCAAGATAATCACATTACGACACCCAAGTAACACACTCACACACGCACATGCGGCAACGCTAATGCCAAACCTTTTGCGGGCGCTAAATTACAGACGCACACATTCCACAGAACACTCACACGCACATTCAGACTTCACCTTCACCTTACTGCATACGAATGACCACGACGACAACCGTCGAGAGTAGTCATCCTAGCGATGCAGAAAATAGACGCTGTGTTGCTGCTTCACACTGCTGAACCGACGGAACGCGGTGAAGCTCTGCTGCTTCAGTGCACTTGAAATTCTGCAAAATCATAAATGCCAGCATCGAACGACGGCCGACGACGATGATGTTGAGGGCGAGGGGATAAAATAGCTTCTTTTTGATGAAGAAATCACCACAGAAAAACGAATGGACGCCTGACGGTCTCGATTCAGCGGCACATCGCCTCTCGTCGCGAATGCGGCCATGCTGAATTTGTCATTGGTTCATCGTGACTCTTACGTCATAGTAACGAGCGGCCGCAGTTGGACGCGCATAATACAAATGGACAGTGGTACACTTTACTTTTTATTCTTAGCTTGTCACCGACTATAGCTGCATACTAGCATATAGCATCTTTAATAATAAGTATAAATATTTATTAAATGCTGAAGTGCTGTTTTAGACTTCAGTCGTTAGGAACATGCATCTGCTCCGAAAATGCTAATAGCAACCCTAAGCTCTAGAATTTTTTTCTGCTCAGAAGACACTTAAGGCACTAGACTTCTTTCTGCTCCAAAATCTGCTTCAAAAAACAAAATGTCACTTTCATCACTGGTAATGCAATCATCAACTTCTTCATTAGTTGCTGTGACAGCCTCGCTACGATTTCTGTCTGTCTAGTGTTTGTCAATTATTGAGGCATTCCCTCGCCTTTGCAGACTGTGCATTAGAGGACAGATGGTGCGATGTGTCAATGATTGTCTATGTCAAGGGCCGGCAAGCTGTTGACGCTGAGAGCCGGGTTGCATGAAGCCAACACGGTGGGGCAACGGGGCAAATAGGGGACGGGGGTGCTTTGCTGGCAGAAAGAAAAATTTTGAGAATATACCGTGATGGTATGCAAAACTGTAATAGCAATCATGTTTATTTTCAGCACACATGCCACAAGGTTGCAATATGTGAACATAGAACTCTTTCAGTTATACTTTTGATGCTGAATATTCTTAGCCAACTTGCAAATTCCTAATCAAGGTTGCTCGCTTACCGACTCAGAAAGTCGTGGAAGCCTGTTCATCGCTTAATCGGGATTACTTAGGAGAAAATTTTGATGTTGTGCCAGGGGCCGAATGTAGCCTGCAAGCCTCAGGTTGTCAATCCCTGGTCTACATGAACACATGTACAAACGTTTGAAATTCTTCTGGCAAGACACATGTTGCGAATTGCGCACGCTGTCTTTCACTCAACCAGTGCGAAGTGATTGGCTGGTACTCCGACAGGATGACACGCGTACTAAATAAATCGATTGCATCTGTTCTGCCTCTGTTTCCCTTTAAAAAGTCTATTTCCTCGTGTGCTTGAGTGCCAATGGATGTGTGTAGCTTTGCTGTTTGTGCGATGTCACACGTGTTCCTTTTTATTGCTTGTCAAGCCGTAATAAATTCACTTTAATCAGCACTCTATGTGTGCTTCTTTTGTTTTCCCATCTTGGCGCTTTGTTTTATCACTCATGACTAAAAATTTTTTAAGCGATAAAGGTATTTACAGAAAGATTGGTACAGTGAAATATTGTTATAACGAACCTCAGATGAACGATTTTTTTCAGATTAACAAATATTTCGAAAATTTCTCTCCCAACGTTCATTGATTCAATGTAAATGTACAGTCGAATCTCGATAATTTGAACTCAGAGGGGCCCGAAAGTTTGTTTTAAAAGAAGTGCGACTTAATGAAAGCTAAATAAACACAGGGCTTTCTTTGCAGTGGCACATGTGCATTGTGCTAACACACGAGGGGGAAGTTTCAGAAGACTTACATTTATACACAAATCATTGGACATTCGTCATTAATTGAAGTAATCTGTGGTGATGCGCGTCTGCACACGTTTGCCTTGCAGCGAGTCAATCAATTTCGCAAGCAACTTGCAAAGCATTTCTACTTCGGCTTCAGCATTCTCCTGGCAAGAGAAGTTGTGCGCGGAAATGTCCAGCGCGGACATGCTCTAAAGATGACGGCAACAATGACTGCTTAGCGGAGCCGCAGCATGGTCAGCTCGTGACGAGAAAAGAGGAGCGTCTCCACGCAGAGAGAAGCAGATCGGCATTTGAGAGAAAACCAACACTCCACGGCAGCTTTTTTTCATTATGTGATTCTTAAAGAGAAAAGAAAAGAAAAGTTAGCCCCGTAACTGTCTGCATCAGAGTGCGACACCTCAACAGTAGCTCACGAGGGATGGGAGTAAGGAGGGATTAAAAAGGTAGGATTAAAAGGTAAATAGATAGAGAGAGGAAGGAGAGAGGGAGTAAAGAGGAGATGGGGAAGATGGATACGATCGCTTTCCTTCCTCCGTGACGGGGCACCACTCAGTGAGAGCTCTTGTCGGCGGCAGGAGATGGCGTAGGGCGAGCCAGTCGGCCAGAGTCTTTGCGCACGTCGTTGAAAGGAGGAGAGTTAAGTGGCAGGGACGGGGAAAGGGGAAAGCGTGGCACCGGCGCATGAGAGACCCCCTCCCCTTAAGGTACAGAGCCATGCTCCCGCAAGGGGCAAGGGCTGCAAAAGATAGTGTGCCTGTTTCCTTCAACCACACATTCATTTAACTCTGTGACAGCTTTTCTTTTTCTCTCTTTCTCTTCGTGCGCGGCATCGGAAGGAGAAGGGTCTTTACGTGGCGGGGACATAAAAGGGAGAAGCGTGACATAGGCACGCCTAAGATCGGCATTTGAGAGAGAGCAAACGTTCTACCGCAGCCTTTTCTTTCCTTTTCCTTTCCTTCGGGTGCAGCGTTGAGGTGTCGCAGGTGCCGCCGCGGGATTTGGCGGGGTGCTGAGAGCATTTTCAAAGTGCGGTATGTTCGAATTGATCGTCGCAAGGGCTTGCGCGTTCGAATTACTGGACGTTTTGCCCATTGGAATGCACATAGCTTTGACGGGGCATCATCGTGAGTTCGAATTAACTGGAAGTTTGAATTAAGCGAGTTAGAATTAATGAGATTCGACTGTATTTCATTACTATGAATTTCAGAGCAACAAATGTTTCATAATAAAGAACGAAATTTGATCACCCAACAATCCTAATAGCTCTTAATGATCATGAATTACTTGCGGAGTTGTACCGTATTTACTCGCATGATTTTCACACTTTCTTAGCGCAATATCGATAAAAAGTTGGAGGAATGCGATAATTACACGGGGAAAATTTTCTGCAAAAATGTACAGAGCGAAAAAGAAAACGAAGTGGTTGCAAATCGGGATTCTCGTGCCAGCAACTACAAACATTTAAGTACTGATCGAGACTTACCTTAACGATAAAATGTTAGGTTCAACACAAAGCGATTTATTTGCAGACACTAAAGCCACTGTCCACTGTTTCAAGGGCCTTGGTGTGGAGACCCTTGACATAATAAAGAAGTTGCGCCTCAAGCTGGGGGTATTTTGCACTCTTATGGTCATGGAAGATCTGACGCGTCTTGGTGGCCTCCAGCTTCTCATGCTGCCGTTGCCAACAGCAAAGACAGAACTCCCCGACTCTGAAGTGCCTGCCAGCATACCTACCGTTGTTGTTTTGTGCAAGGTCAATCACTTTCAACTTGAAAGCAGCCATGCAGCTTCCGTATCGATACATTGCATTACCACATGCTGCACGGACTTGACTAACATGCCCGGGTGCTTCATGGGTGCTTGCCACTTTGGCTTGGTATGGATTGGGGCTCTGTGCGTTAATTGGTAGTATGGATAGTTTTTAAGAGATGGCGCTAGGCTGTGCATTATCATCAGTGGTTGAAAGAAGTAGACATTACTGTTGCAATTGTGGCGAGTGGGATATTAATACTCGCGAAAAAATAAAATCCTATTTTGTAGGCCGATTCAAGGAGGGTGGGTGCGAGAATTATGCAAGTGCGAGGATTACAGGAGTAAATGCGGCAAATGCCCTGCTCCATACTATGTGGCAATATTATCATCATCAAAGCTTTCGGATCATTTTTTATACATTGCCCTATGCTATTGCAGCGCCTCCTATCGTTTTTGCATCCCCGTTCAGCGATTTAGCCAAGTTGAGCCTCATCCGCTGGCTTAGCCTGGCAGTCTTTGTTCAGGCGCCCCGCCGCGGTGGTCTAGTGGCTAAGGTACTCGGCTGCTGACTCGCAGGTCGCGGGTTCGAATCCCGGCTGCGGCGGCTGCATTTCCGATGGAGGCGGAAATGTTGTAGGCCCGTGTGCTCAGATTTGGGTGCACGTTAAAGAACCCCAGGAGGTCAAAATTTACGGAGCCCTCCACTACGGCGTCTCTCATAATCATATGGTGGTTTTCAAGGGGGGCATCTGTAAAGGTGGCAAGCAATCCTAAGTCCGTATTTCGGCGTTCTGCTGCAATGCCACAGGCTCAAAGAAGCTGAGACCGTTGGTGATTGGTGAATACAAGAAGCCTCTGTGTATGAAGAACACTGTGTCATTACCGTGCGATTATCGGGCTAATCCACGTGCATGGATGATGCGAGAGCTCTTCTCTGAGTGGGTAATGAAGCTGGACAACGAGATGAGGCGAGCAGGCAAGAAAATCTTAGTTATCGTCAACAACTGCTTGGCGCATCTTGTGAATGTTAGGCTGACTAATGTGCAGCTAGATTCTTGCCACCCAACTGCGCTTCGTTGCTACAGCCACTCGACCAAGGCGTCATTAGAAACATCAAAGCCCATTATCGCAAACGCCTCGTTCAGCGATTGCTGATTAATCTTCAGCTGAAGCTGTGTACTTCAATCAGTGTGTGTCACGCCGTAGAAATGGTTGCCAGGGCTTGGTGCAATGTTACAGCAACCACCAAGGCAGGCTTAGTATCTACTTGAAGCTGAGTGTGAACAAGGCAGCGAAGAAAGGGACGTGGGCGGCATGTAGCAAAAAGCCGCTGAAAGATTTGCGATGGATGCCTTAGTGACGTTCGAGATTTTTGTGGAGTGCGACAATGAAGTGTACACGTCAATTGAACTGACGATCGATGACATCATCAGCGCCGTTCGTGGTGACGGAATGCCAATGGCGAAGATGACGCTGAGACTGCGCTCGTGTGCCAGCCCGAAGAATCTCTTTCTAATGTCGGCATCATGGAATGCATGTGAAAGATGCGCACCTACCTTGGCAGATGCAGCGATGCTACCGATCAAGAGCGAAAGAATGGGGACAGCTTCGAAGCGTTTGTCCTGCAGCAGTTGAGTGGCACCCGCCAGGCCAAGATTACCGACTTTTTCAAAAAATAAACGTGGGCTCATTCTGGGATATATAAGCATGTGTTTGCGGATATGCACCTAGCAAAGGTAGGTAGGTGACGTTTGTTGCGTTTGCGATTTTTAGCGCCAATACGATGTTTTCACTATTACAATCTTTCAAAATAACGAACAATTTTCCGCAGTCCCTTCAAATTCGTTGTATCGAGATTTCACTGTAATATGTAAACTCTAGAGGAATTTTGAGAAAATACTTGACAGGCCACACAAAGACGTGCATGCTCAAGCATATTTGCCACAAGTGCGTTGTGCATGTGATCCGGCTGGCACCCACGAAACTAGTCTCCTTGTTTTGTGGCAAGGCTAGTTTCTTGCGTTCCTAGAAACTAGCACGGTCACATTGGTTTCAGAACACGCACTAAGCATTTCCATCCGCTGGGGATCCAGCCGCGCCACAATTCTATATCCCTGCGCACATTCGAGTGCAGCTTGCACCAAAGCTCACTAGTCTGTCTTTTTACCCGGCACCGGACCGTTTATGGCCCAAAACTAGTTTTGATCGCAACAAACACAGTTAGAGCCTCTTTTTTTCTTAATTCCGCTGCTAGCCAATGTATCTGTGCCGCAGCGTATGTCTTCGTTGTTGAAAGTTTAGCATACCACCAATAGCTTCTCTTATTTTTTATGAAACTGGTGATAATGCGTAGAAAAGTGAATTTTTTTTTTCCTTTGTGAGTCACTCCAGGTGTCTTAATGTAGTCACCAGGACCATTGTGAATAGCTGCACTGCGTGTTAAAAGCAGCCTATTCATAAAAATTAAGATTCGGCGGTGAAACATTTTGTTTGCTTTTTCGCAAAAAAGTAGATGCCTCTTAAATAACGAGCGCGCATGTTTCCGTATAATATCCCAGGATATGTATTGGGAAAATGTGGCGCAGCTATTGGCTGAAAAAAATCACATGATCTAAACGCACTTCCAGTATTTTTTGTTTGTTTTTGTTTTTTAATGCAAGACGTCGGGGCACATAGACGCTAGCACACGAAGGAATTTCCATGGGCTAGCATAACACTTGTTTTGCAATACGCTGGTGAAGCTTGCTGAAGCCGTACGCCGTATAAATTGCACCGAAACGTGTGGGCTTTTCGCTGACAGTGTCCCTTGAACTAGTTGTGTTCTCATGCAGCTGGTGTGCTCAGATTGTTTATTTATTAGGCGTTCGTGTGGGCTGCCAGCCGGCGAAGAAGATGCGCTACTTGAACTACTCCGGATGTCAACTGTTTTAAGGTATGTGGGTTGTATCACCTGTGAAATTTACGCTGTGGTCTTTTGTGCTGCGCGCGTAAACGAAGACGATACGAACTTGTTTCAATGTTGGTTGTTTTTTGATGGTGTGCTGTTTCTTGCTACACTGCGCGTTTCCGCAAGGGTTCTTTGCCATGTTATTGATCTTTATATCACGCGACACACTGCAAGCTTGCACGCTGTTAACGCGCACAGTGCTCATGAAACTTGTGTAGTAGAGTAGAGCGGTGGGAGCTGAGGCGTTCCCCAGATGCAACTCCGCATTTAAGAAGGACAATGAAATGTGCATAACATGGGCCTTGCCACAATTAAAAGCAGATAGCGCAGTTGTCCCTCCCAGACCTATGGGTAATCTAACGTCAAAAATGTTCTGGGCTGTTTTGAAAAAATTGAAGTATGAAGCAGGAAACGGTACATGTCACTTAATGAATATCTTTGTCGTGTTGAATAAAACATGCATTGAAAGTAGTAGTGTCCACTGTTGTCCATGCAACCTGAATAATTAAAAAAAATTGTATTGTGAAACAAAAACATGGCTACTGAATCCAGAAGCACAGTTGTACATTATAGATACACGTAGTATTTGCACAGTTATTGGAAATATTGTACACATTTTTTTACTGTCACTGAACATATATTACATGAAAGTGTTGTTCATACCAATATAGACAAATGAACTGCGAAAAATTTGCTTTGCAAGAAAAAAGAACTAGCAAGAAATTAGTGAAATAATACACAGTATGAAAACACACAGTATGAAACACACAGTAAATAATACACAGTATGAATCATTTCTTTCAAAACAAGTCACAGTCTAGGACACCTATTTGCAGTTAATGGGTTTCCAGACTAATTGGTTTTGAAGCACGGAGAAGTGATAAATGGCACGAGAAGACACAGACTAAAGGAGACAGACATGTGCAGTGAGTCACAAACTATTTCATTTTCAGAAGTGCATGAAATATAAAGCACTTCATTTTTTAATTAGTGAACACGTCTGTCTCCTTCTGTCTGTGTCTTCTCGTGCCATTTATCACTTCTCCGTGCTTCAAAACCAATTAGTCTGGAAACCCATTAACTGCAAATAGGTGTCCTAGACTGTGACTTGTTTTGAAAGAAATGATTATGTGAAAGAGGGTACTTCACATTCCATGTTATCTAAGAGAGACATAATGTCATAATCACATTAAAATGACACTTCTGTTCTCAATTTAAGATACCATGCAGCAGACAAACTTGGATGATCTTTTACTGGAAGCAGGATTAAAACACCACAATATGTGAAAGGGTGTTAAATTTTGGAGCAAATTGTGTGTTCTAATACCTTGCACAGATGCCATGAAATTGCACCAGAATGCCATTCACAGAAAGATATGTCCTCCTACTCTTTGCTCAAGCCTCACCGTGGTGGTCCAAGTGGCTAAAACACTCAGCAGCTGACCTGCAGGTTGCGGGATCGAATCTCGGCTGTGGTGGCTGCATTCTCGATGGAGGCGAAAATGCTATAGGCACGTGTGCCCAGATTTGGGTGCACGTTAAAGAACCCCAGGTCGTCAAAATTTCCGGAGCCCTCCACTATGCCGTTTCTCATTATCATATGGTGGTTTTGGGTCGTTGAACCCCGCATATCAATCAATCAATACCTTTTGCTGAAATAGTCTTTTTCCTCATCCAGTTCATGAGAGTGCATAGTTAACCCAATGTAGCTTTCTTTACAGTTCGTCTACAGCTTGGTTAGCTTTTATCTTTCTCCTAGTGATTTTTTGAATGATGCCAGGTTATTCAGCAAGCATGAACTCCCCCTAGAAATTGTTCATGAACATTAATGTTGCCTTGGAGGTAGCACTAGACTTACGATACCACTTGGTAAGCACGAACTTGAACCTGAACATTTGATTTATTGATTGAATAAATTTTCTTTTTGGTTATCTCATACACACTGCCGGTCTTGAGCAGGAGTGAATTTAAAACGATGTAAAAATAAATGAAACAACATGCAAATACATCTAAGAAATTACTGTATACGGAACCTTAGTGCTGCATGGGACAACACTCAGCACTGCACACGGCAAAGTAATTGTTGAATTACATAGCTGGTTAATGAAAAGCAAGCAAGAAATACAATTACGCAGCTGGTTGACATAAACAAGGTAAAAAGATATGAGCAGAGAAATCACAGCAAGCAGTGTGAGATTGCATGTCTAAAATTGCATACAGCGAAATCTCGGTACAACGAACTTCAGGGGGCTGTGGAAATTCGTTCGTTATTTTGAAAGGTCGTTATAGTGAAAGCTCAAAAATTAACCATCAGTACTTATTTTTCACTTTCCAGAACGACTTACTTTTACAACGGTAGGTCCTTGAACTTGTTTTTCACAAAAAAAAAGACTAATGCATAAGTAAACACCAAAAAATGCACGTTTACTTTAAAGAAGTCTACGATTTTTTTTTTTTATGCGAGCAGCACAAACTTTGCAGCGCGAAGGCCTTCAGCTCATCCACATTCCTGTGGTGTGATTCAGTTCTTTGGTCACAACAGCCTATTTTTTGCCTTCCGGTTGGTGAAGAATATCCATTGTCTCGCTTAGCGAAAACTGCTTCCGCTTCTTCGTCGCAAGCAGAGATGAACTAATTTGTAGTATCACCGCAGCACGAACGCGGACTTGCTTTGCGGATGCGATAAGTAATCTCCGAAAAGAGATGAACACGAAGGAAAAAACAAGGCCTTCAAAGAAAAACCTGAAGCGACACGGCTGTCATCGCCTCTTTCGAAGAAAAATGTGCTAAAAAAGAAAATTCCTCGCGTTTCATTTTCTGCTCTCTCGTTGTCTCAGGTTTTCCACGCCCATGCTTCCTGCTGCACAACTCCCACTCTGCCTCGCTGACCTTGCTTTCCCGTGTTGCCCTCGCCTCTGCGCTCGCTTGTAAACCTGCAGCGTCGGCGTTTCAATAAATAGAAAGAAAGTCGCCCTTTCGTTTTTTTTTTCCTCCACACCGTCGCGTGTCTTTCAAGAAGCAAGGCGTTCGTTCGCTTTGTCGTCTGCTTGCGTACCGCTCCGGTGGTCGCGACGGATTTCAGAACATAAGTTCATAGTACTAAGGCGTTGTTAATATAACATGGAACTAAATTAACACTCGTTATTCTGAAAAGTTCGGTATTCTGAAGTACGTAGTAGTGAAATAATTTTACATTGAAGCTATTAGCAGTCGGCTCAGGATTTTTTAAAAGTTTGTTAATGTGGGGTTCGTTCTACCAAGATTTCTCTGTATACAGCATCCTAATGTCCTTGCGCATGACAAGTAAAGACTAAAAATCACGGCTAGTTAAAGCAAACAGAAAAGAATTACTGTATAACGAAGATGCATGAAAAGTGTATGGAAGGCCCAAAACCAATTAATATGAATAATCGAGTGCACTCAATAGGAGTGAACTAGTCTGACATTGAAACAGCTTTACTTGTGGATCCTTTCAAATGTGGGCACTGCTGCAGATGAACATCTTTTGTGCTGATATTCACTAACATTTATTGGACAAAAAGCCCAGATTTGGTACTTCTGTACTGGTGAAAAGCATTGTTTCTGATCTACTCCTAGATCTGTATCTTATCTACTTCGACTAGCTACGTCAACCATTGTAACTCTGAATTTCGGTGTGTTGGTGACTAAAACTTCAAAAAGGTTAGGCAGGATCTGCAGAACAATATAATTCACTTTTATTGCTTGTCTTTAGAAAATGAAATTACGAACCGGCACATGCCCAGCATGAGGTCATTTCAAATGGTGGGGTTTGAGGTCATTTCAAATGGGGGGGTTTATGGCACACTTAGTGATGCAATCGATCCTAAGCAATTAGGTGCACGATCTGGAGCAGCTAAAACCTCCGTTTTGAGCAGCAAATCAGCCTTTTTTAGCATTTGACAGTCACACATTTTCAAACACACATTTAAGGTCTAAGTGTGAGTAGTTTATCATGTTTAACAAAATAAATATATGCATGCACACTTCTATATAATGCCACAAAAAGTGAAGTTAACCCTCAGCTTCTCGGTTTCTTGCTGACAGCCCCAGATTTCTGTATAGTCTTGGCATGGGGCTTCTTGGCATTTCCTTGTGATACACATTTCATTTGCTAATCAGTACAACTTTCCCTGACGCTTCCAGAGGCATAAATTTTCCATGCATATTACGTTTACTATCAGAAAGAACTAGCCATGTGTTGACGTCTGTGCCTTCAATGCAACCTAGGAATATGAGTTGCATGGAGAAGTATGTGCTGTTGCACTTTATGGACAGACTCATTAAGCTTTTGGTTCTTTCGCACTTAATGAAGAATTGGTATATTGTAAATTCCAACAATATACAACGTGATGTTCGCTAGAATGAAAGGCTAGGCTTTGCATGTTTAGACAGTTTTTTTAACTTGCACTCATGCCAAAGAAACAGGACTGATATACAAGGGTAGTATTTCACTGTGCTACAGCAGCAAAATCTTCTGGCCACTGTAGTGGCTGGCATTGTTTATATATGCAGTCCGTATAGTATGATAAATAAAACTTCAGTGACCTGCATAGATTCGATAGAAGTCGGAAGAAATAGAAATCTAAAATTTTCAAAAGTTACTGAACTCATGCGACATGTTTTAATTACATATGCATACTTCTTTCTGTAGTTAATGTGATCACTCCTCACATAGCAGAATGCTGTCTCATAAAAATTTCTGATTGTGCACTTGTTTCTATCACTTATTTTTTAGTGCCCTGCCCCAACATGCAGCTTGACCAAGATGAACCCACACCAACTAGCCAAAATTTCGACACTGCTCCAGCACCTTCAGTTGCACTGCTAGGCACACTATGTTGAATTCTGTGCTCCTCTGTTCACAGGTTGGTGCAAAATATCATTATTCAGAGTGTTTTAAGATGCATGCCTTGGGGTTTTGCCGAGCCTTCCCTGGTGTACTGCATAATTCTCTTATTGTTAATTATGGAGGGTGATGATGAAAACCCAGCGCCTAATAGTGATTTTCCGTGGAAGATTTGAAATACTTCCACAAAAATTAAGGCATTACATAAAATCTGAATTTAAAATTGGCATGCAGAGTGTCCAAAAAAACCTGTCTCTTATCCAGAATACACTTGTGTCACTTATAGACTGTAAAGAAAAAGATGAGAAGTGTGCCGCATAGTGAACACAGTTCGGAACGAGTTGCAAAATTAATCAGTAAGATGGTGGGAGACTCAAAGGAACATCCAAGGGGTGCTCCACTCCCAAGATTTAAAAAAAGTTAGGACTTCATATACTTTATAATTTAAAGGGCTTCATAATTTCAATAGTGCATCCCAATTGAAGAGGGTATCCAGCTGAGATGAGCTGAAATTGACATGCCCTCATCGTGGGCTATGGAAAAAGTGTTTAATGGGTGTATTGTGCATGATTGCAGAGACAGCAGCCAGCTCTAATTCTGTCAAGTGTTATTAGATCCAGCAAGCCTCTTAAAACCTACTGCTCTGTCTTGGTCGTGAGGAAGTTGTCAATTTAAATTCGTGCATGAAGGTCATAGCATACAATGTGAGGCTCATTGTTGCTCAAAAGTACAGAATTTAAGAATGGCCCCAAGGCCCAACATTGTTCCAGCAAATGACTAATTTGGCCTAAGATTATGTGCTTTTGCTAGAAACTACGCTGTAATCACTGTCAAAGTGTGCGATTTTTTTCATGATAAGCGTACAATCGTATCACACAGCTGTTCTTCGTAGGTAGGGCCATATGATTTCTTTACACAAGAGAAAAACGTTTTGCAGTGTAAGTTATGAGCTCACAATAGCCAGATTTAGTGGCACTATTGTCTGCAGCTGTCATCCTTACTGAGGTAGGAAGCTCAGCGTGGGAGCTAAGCCGGAATCCAGATGGAGATCATTCATCCTCCCATAAAATCGCGGAAGTGCTTGAATATTCTTCACAAAAACACCCTTTTCAGGCATCATGTTAGGTGACGAATCACATTAATTGCTTGGAAGAAGAGTACATTTGCACAAGACTTCACTTCATGTGAACTGCTTTATGAGTGGATGGTCGAAAGCTTCCCACTCGTTACGAAGGGTCGAACCATAATTCACCATTCTCATCATCATCAGCCGCAGCATCAACGAAGCGTGCAAGCTACGTAAACGTTTTACAATGCACACTGGGTGCTTTGTTACTATGCAAAATGATGGTGATTTGTGTAGTGAATACCTAGCTAGTGTACCTGCAATAGGCATCCCATGAGAGTTTACTGAAAGCTCTTTGGGAAGCCGCTCCTCCTGGTTATGCTGGGATTGTGCTACGTCGTCCACACAGGCCTGACATTTTTAGCCCGCTTGTTTTTGTAGTACAAGGAATTTGTTTTTCATAATGTTTTTTTTTTTCAACCACATTTAAAAATTTTGGCAGTTCAACAAAAAGTACCAATAGAAAGAGAATTCTCAAGGGCATATACTTTGTTGATGTTACCATAGCTCACTGCCTGCTGTTATCTTTAAGCTCATTACATAGTTGGTTCGAACCTGCTGCTGTCTGTTGAACCAACCTGATGGGTCCTATGCTGTGTGTGACTCTAGTGTACTATTCAACTATGAAACTGCACAAAGTGAACACGTATTTATAAAATTAAGGTATAATTTTACAGCCTGCATTTAAAGTTTGATAAAGTGATAAATAGTCTGGTACTGATAATTGACGCTAGTATAATGCCTGCTGTAAGCCTTGCCTCACGAAGTTTTTGAAACTGCAAGTTATAATGTGTGCTACTTTGCGTGGAGGGGTTTACTTGTTAATAAAAATAGTTCAGAAGGAAACATGTTCCCTTTTTTTTTAATCAATGTTTCTTGGCTCGGTAGTGTGGAAGTTACTGCCAACAATGACATGAAAAAAAATTTGCTTTTGTTGAAATATGCTCTAAGAGGAATATTTTACAAAGTTGTTGGTGCTGTTAAAGCTTAGAAAGAACCTGAAGTCTGCTGTTTCCTTTTAATTGCCTTTGTCTTGCTCCTATTTTCATTTGCAGAAGAGAGCCAGGACACTCCACTGGAAATTTCATTTAACATTAGATTGGAGAACATACTGTGATGTGACGCAAAGCCCCCCTCCCCCCCCCCCCCCGAGTGTCTTTTCACGCTTTTTCCCCTATTGCAATAAATGATGACCTCACACTTAAGTTGTTATTGTAATAAATAAATGTATTTTTCATGTACTTACAGCAAATAAACTTGTTCAAAATCTAGTTTGTTTCGGGACTCCTTTGTACTGCTTTGCCCAACACCCACTATTATTCGCAACAAGGATACTATCAGATGAACTGGTCCTACCCATAATATTGTCTTAGTTATTTAGCAACCACAGCAGATACATTTTTGTAATTAGAGCAGGGGGTTTACAAAACAACAAAGTTTACGACTCTTCACGTGAAAATGTGCTAGATGACCTTAGAGTCGCCGAAAAGTAAGTTTTGTATTTTAAGACATAGGACAACTATTGACAATATTTATTGAGACATAGGACAACTTAGAAAGAAAATTTCTTCAGTAAATTTATCTATGTATGTGAATCTAGCAGTATAAATGAAACTTATGAAAGCTTTGTTTCTTTATTAAAATACACTTAGCTTAATGCTTAACATTTTACCTGGTAAGGGCTCCCAAGAAATGTACATGCAGTTGCAAGTTATGAATTACTTGCAATTTATCTACAAACATTTTATAAGAAATGCTTTCGTATTCCATAGTTCTTAGGAAAAAAGACTTGAGCAGCATTTTAGCACTGGAAATAGAGATATGACTAAGTGCTTGAACTGAAATGAAAATGCGTAGGTTAAAATATTTACCACTGGTTTATCGTTGTCACAAGCGCAAAGTTAAAATATACGACATGCAAACACCGACACATGAGATATGCGCAGGCAAGTTTGAATGTATTCTTTTTTTTCTGCTGCTGTGCATCTTTTCAGTTGTTAGTCGGAATTTGTGCACCTTTATTTCTCTCTGGTGTCCATGTTTGCATGCCCTATCTCTTAACAGGAATGCAAACCAACTAACTCACTCAGCTCTCTTATTGTAGTGCTCATGTCGACTTGTCTCTCTTTAAATAATATCATCCGATTCATTACAGGTGACATAAATACATGAAATCTGGAAGCATTCTAAGTACATACTGATGGTTCATCATGCCATGACAATCATAGAGCACCTTGTTATCTGTGTAAGACACAAATGCCTTTTAAAAAGCACGACATGAGTAATGCATGTTTTTACCCCCATCCCCCTTCATATACATATGTCCCTTAAGACACAGGTTAGTGCGAAGTAATGTCAAATGTATCATAATTTATTCAATCGAGAGCTCGCCTGACTTGTTCATCATCTTGGTTCATTTTGTTCAAAAATTGTCCATATTTTTTTTCAGAAAAATCACCATAGCATCTGGATAACTTATTACCTACTTTGAAAACAGATGCTTATTTTGTAATAACGGATGGTAATAGCCTACTGAAGCAACTTCAATGATCTTTTGGTCTGCATCCAGAAGCTGTTATATGTTAAACAGTACATCTTTAATGAAGCATTTAGCCTTTAATAAACTTTATTGTACTATCAATCAACTTTGTGGTGTAATAAGCTAGCCGGATGAAAAACCAGAAGCAGTATGAAATTGAATAGGAAATCTAATATGGGGGAAAATAGCGGAAAGTTTACATGTCGAAGAGGCTCTGGGTGGTGTTCGTTTCGCCTTAAGAAATATATGCGCTGTCATTGGTTCCTGGTTAAGAAATATGTCCTGTTGGGCAAGTAATATTTACATCTGAATAAACAATATACTTTTCTGTTACACAAGTTTAAACGAAAAACAAATGCTTTGGGGAGGGCATGGGATTTTGCAGTGTTGTATTAATTGCATTAGTAAACCTTGCACATTGCAATAATTAAGAAGAGCCTGTACTCAAATACCACGACATTTGTCATTCTTTCAGCATTGTAAGTTCAAGTGGTATGTGCATCATTCTTCTGTGTAATTCCTGGAGGTTAGGGGGTAGTTGTGGGAGAGGTGCACATTCAGATATTTCTTACAGCAAACATGTTCCCACCACCGTGTATCACAATTGACATTGCAGGATTTTACAAAATATGGGTACATTCTCCAACCTCGTTTCCTGAATCGACGTCTGCCAATTGTTCCCAGGCACTCATGCTTTTAAAAATTTTTTTTCCTGTCCACATTGCTAAGCTTGTTAAATATGCTTCGTTTCACAATGTGCCGTGATTTGGTTTTGTAATGTAAATCAAGGGTGTTGGGTCCTCTGTCAGGCTATGTGCCTTTAGCCCCAACATCCTTTTGTTTCTTGTGTCTTGTAGAAGAAAACAATAAAACAAATTTTGAAAATTGAAATTGAAAAATGTGAAGAAAGAAAGTTGGACAAAAAGATAACTTGCCGTGGGCAGGGACCAAATTAGCAACCTTCGAATAACAAGTCCGATACTCTACCAACTGAGCTACCACAGTGGCCATCTCCCTGTCCACTAATGGTGTATATGTAAATGAAATGTAGGAGCATGGCCAGTAGCCATGACGGTGAGTGTGGAACACTTTTTTGTGTCTGTTTGGCGTCGCGTAGTTTGTGAGCTTATTATGAGTTGGGCAGCTGACCAATAATTTCTGGTATACTACTTAAAGGCACCAAGTCTGTCAGAATGAGTCCCTCTCTATGAATGAAGGAAGTACATTTAAGGGCTTGTTTTTTTTTTGTTAGACACAATATTAATGAGATCTAATAGACCATTATGCCATTTGGCATTATTGTCCATTAGATCTCATTAATATTGTGTCTAACAAGTAAAAAAAGTCCTTAAATGTACTTTTTTGTTTGGCATGATTACCTATTCGATCTCATGATTATTGTGTCTAACAAAGAAAACAAGCCCTTAAATGTACTTTTCCTTTTTTTTTTTTGGTTGCAACACTACAGTCCTGATGCACAACCTCTTAATGTTATTACTTGCTTATGCATGCTTCATTCACTTTGACGGATGCATTGCACGCAGACATGTAAGGTGTTTTATAACATGCTCAAGTCATAGCACCGATTAACATTAGATTAGTTCACATGAAAGGCTGGGAGATGAGTGCTTCCTGCCTTTTGCAAAATAATGTACACTTACCAGAAGAGCTTAGAATTTGATGATGACGCTATTACCAAAACACATTTCTTCTTTTTACATTTATATAGCATCAAGTTTAATTGCAATGGCATCAAGCCTAGTTGTGACAAATTAACAAATATTCACAAATCGCCTTACATCTTTTTTTTTACATCATAGTTGAATAAGTTTGCACTCATTTGCTAGCAAAATCAAGTCTTAAGGTTTCTTGCATCATGGCAAACACAATCTCGTGATAAATATCACGCCGAGGGGCACGCACACGCTCCCGGATTTACGTTGTGCATCACTTCGCCTATCGCGGCACAATCCGCGCATACACCATGTCGTCTATTGTAAAATGATCCGCATTTACATTGCCAACAGCCGCGAAAACATTTGGCAACAAAAAGCCCGAACATTTCGGCGTCCGTCATGCCTGCGGCGTACAGACGGGGGGGGGGGGGGGGGGGGGGGGGGGAAGGGGGGGCTTCAGCGCAGCGGCGCAAACGAAAGTTTCTTGCGTCGTGTCAAACACATGACCGCACGCCAAAGGGGCATGCACTACGCACTCCCGGATTAAGGTTAAACGCCACTGCGTCCATTGTAAAACGACCTGCACAGCCGCGTGGAACACATGTCAGCAAAAAACCTGAATTTCTACGGCGTACGGCTTCAACCAGCTTCGCAAAAACCTTTCTGTGGGTGCCGCCATCTTGTATAAAAAGAAACAAATATAAACACAACAAATTGGAAGTGTGTTTAGATCACCTGACCTTCTTCAGTCAATAGCGGCGCCGCATTTTCCCCATACATCTCTTGGGGTATGATACGGAAACATGCTAACGTGCGCGCCAGCGACAATCGCGCTCGTAAAATCAAAGGTCGTAGTCAGTTGCTGCTGGAGGGACCCCTCCCCCATCCCCGCTCGCATCTTTTGACGCTAGTTTGAGCATTTGATGCTAGTTTTGAGCATTTGACTGCCGGTCTAAAATACGGGGGCATCTTATCTCATGCACCTCAAAGTGAAGAAGATGGGGTGAAATCACGGTGACGGTAGAAACCCCATCGATACTGTCCATAGAATTGCTATTAACAGTCCCTGGTTTGCAAATGTTCCCAAGTGATTCCCTCGCACTTGTTGAGAACTACGCTTGCGAACGGGCTCAGCGTTGCCGCCATTTGTTCGGAAATCGCACATTCCCCCCCACCCCCAGAATAAAAGAAGAAAAAAAGCATTCCTTCTACCTAATGAGTCAGTCGCCATCTGACATCTTGTCTGTTCGTAGGATGTCATTGTCATTCCCCAACTGTGTCAGTAGCGCAAGGCTCGTACCCACCCATCACACGGCATATTTAGGTGATAAACTCGTGAACACGTGGCATCGCAAAAGCCAACATGTTGACTAACGGACCCATCTTCTTCATGGCTTCTATGAATAAAGGAATCCCCCCTTTTATGTTTAGATTGATCACTGACCCTTCCGTACCAGCTGTTTACATCATGGCAGTTTCATTTTTAGAATACTTTGTTTTTTTATTTTAATCTGGAAAATAAAAAGTGCGGAGCATGAAGTTTTCTTAATTAAAAAAAAATTTTTCACTCGTTGCTTGCACCTCTAGCAATTATCATCCACAGTGAGCTGTGGTGATTATTTAATGCTCTATCTACGTGAACAATTTTAAACTGTATGTTCTCACGTGCAAGGATCGAGCTTTCTTCATCTTCATTCTGTAATTGGTATATTGCTGGTTTTCTAATTAGGTTTTTTGGGGGGGGGGGATGATTTTATGACAAATGTCATAACGCAGAGACAGTGTGTGCCATGCTCACCTTGTCACTAACATATGTAACCGTCCGTCTCACTATCGCTTCACTTTTGCTCATCATGCACATTTTGTGCAGTGCAGTGAAACCGGAATATGACACTTCTGTACTAAGAGCCTGATTAATGACTGCTGTGTGAATGTCTGCCTTGTCTCCTTGTTTACATTGCAGCAGCATTTCCAGCTTGCACACTCAGAATATTCACTGAAAATTTAGACATGTCTTGCACCAAATTATCCTAAATTTCATTTTGTTTGCTACAAATCTGCTCCGAAACACAGTCGTGCTCCATATCTGCTCCAAAAGCGACTTTTTTCTGTTCCAAATCGTAAACTGGTTGGATCACCACTGTAATTAGCATTCGAGAATTTTCAATCAACGGTGAGGTGTTCTCTTTGCTGTCGACGAGCAGTGGCCGACCAAAACAGCCAGGTAACCTCACGCATGCTCATAGGCGTTGAATCAAGTCTGCTGGCAACGACCACACGAAAGCTATCTGTGAAAGGTGAACATTGTGACATTTTGGTTCACACTTTTTGAACCAATACATTTCTATCACGTGGAATATTTTGCTTGTGATTTTCAAGTTCAAAAGCAGATTTCCCAATATCATTCTTTCGGCTTGCTCAATGGCCCCTCACACTGGGATTGTCGGCAGTGGGGTCTGAACTTAAAACCTTGATGACTCACAGTTGAGGGTTTCAAACATGTATATTAAAGCCAGGATGTGTGTCACAGGCAATGATTTTGGACTTATCATTGAGCCTAGGCTTGCTCTGTGCAACTTGATAGCCATTTGATACGTCTACATGTGATGGACCCCGACCGCTTGTCATTGCAGAACCAAGTGTCCACCCAAGTTTGGCTCCACAAGCAGCTGGTCAAAGATGCCTCTGTGGATGCATCGTCTTCGAAAGCCATTGGTAATTAGCTTTTTTATCTAACAGCTGTTTTCCAAGTATCCTAAATGAACAATATTCTTCTGCCTGCCAATTTTTCAGACATGCTTGAAATTTTGCGCGCTGTTGCGGTGCTGCCACAAGCTTCATTGAGGCAGTGCATGGAAACATCTGGAATTTCACATGCTCAAGTTCTTTGGCGTTCAGTTTTTCGCACTTTATACTCAAATTAGGTTGTGCTGAAATTGCTCTTGTGGCCGTCTGCTCCTTCATCTCAAGTGTTCGTTTTTTAAGCAGTGTGCAATAAGGTAACACTCAAATGGCAAGTCTAAAATGACTCTAATTGAAGGCACCACCGCTGCTACGACAATCATTTCACAGGCTTGAACCAGTGCTTTCGCAAGTCAATCTGTCTGTGGCAGAAGTGGATTTTGGAAGTCGGCTTTGCATGATGCCACAATGTTGCAGAACGAATCATACCAAGGCTCCAAAGAGCTCTCTGTCACAGTTCAGTGTGGTGGTCCCTCTTGAGATGAGCTCTGAAAAATGCACGGTGGCACTATGGCAGCAGGCGGCAAGCACGCCAATACAACTTATTTGCGTTCAACCGTGATACGATAAGCGTCTACTTGGTGGTGCATGTGACAGTGCACAGTTGTTAGCGTATGGCATGCTTTTAATTGGCAACCCAACAATGCCACATCGCCATTCACTACTGTCATTGTACTAGACCTCGAAGCGTTGCCTTCAGGGAAGAGAGCGGCGTTTCTTCGCTCTCCTTGTTGGAAAAGGAGCTACGAACACTCACAACAGTCGTTTAGTAATGCCAACATTTTGGCATCGAGAGCGCGCTCTTTGTAGGTGATGTTTCAAACACGTACCGTATTTGCTCGAATAATTTGCACACTCTTTTTTCTCGATTTTAAGGCCCCGAGAAGGGGGTGCGCAAACTACATGGGGATTTCGCGAGCTCATACAAAATATTGCGTGTAGTATAACATTTAAAAAAATTAGAAATAGTATGGAGAACAAACGAAGTGTACTTGTTAATTTTGAAAGACTTGGCGCATACTTTAACCAGTCACTGATCCGCTAGTTTTCTTGGATGTAAACGTGAAAATTTGGACCAATGTAATGCACATGCGCAGTGTCTACGGTTTATGTCATATTGGCATAATTTTGACTCAAAAAAATTACATCAGAGCGAACATTGCCTTCAGTAGTCAGATCTGCAGCGATATGACACAGTTATGCCTGATTTCTCATAGCCGGTATGCCAATAACAGGTAATGTCTCTGTGTCTATAGGCATGGCTGCCGTGTTGGCTAAGGCTGTTTGGGATCACTCATTTCTGTGTGTCAACTCTAGTTTCATTAGAAAAGTAGATGTGCTGTCCAATCCCATATGAGTAGTTCTTGGTGACTACTACTTTTTCCGCAATATGTAGAAAAGGCTGATTGGGAATCCTGCTGTCAGTACCAGAATCACCTTGTCACCAAGTGGCCTTCTTTATGTCAAATGACTTCTTTTGAGATGGTGGTGCTCTATTCTTATGATTCCATAGTTTGAATGCTCATCCACTTTTCTACGCCATCAGGACGACGCAAGGCCCCGCCACTTGAAATTGAAGGCATGCCTGGCTATGAGAAGCTAAACATCCGTGAGCGAGAGGTAAGTTGCACTCTTGAAGGATCTATCAACTGAGCGAGAGGGATATCAGCGAAGTTGATGTGTAGTCAGCCCCAGTAAAGTTTGTCGCCCCTTTCTGCGGTGCGAACCGGGAAAGCGGCTCTCGTATGTCGCTACTCTGGTGAGACTAAGACTGGTTAAATGCTGTTGGTTTATTCATGATGTGCACTCGGCGCGTTCTGGAGTTCTTCTCTCTAAGAGTTTCATACAATAATACCTAGAGTTGAATCTGGTGCTATTGTCTACGTTGACTCCTTCTGCGGCACTTGTAGCCCCATGGGAACTATGGCAAATACAGGCTAATTAGGATCCGCTTCGGATGAATTACGTTCCTGATATTCGCAACGCTTCTTTTCCGAGTGTAAAACATTGTGATATGAACTTATATTTAATTGAAACTTGCTTCAAATATTTTTACGCATACTTAATTGCAAAAAGTTTTTGGGACCAGGCAGCAGAAGTGAAATGTGGGAAAATATCAGGGTATGCATCGCTCTGCCATTGCGTTCCAGATTTGGCATCAAGATTTAATGAATAATTTTAACAACACTTGAAAACAAACATGCTTGTTTTTCACTCAAATGTATGTGTTATCTATTTATGGAAATAACAGGACAGTATTAAGTGAGAAATACTTAACGTTTCATCTTCTGCGACGCTAGGTGTGTCTGTCCAAGTGGTCTGCTTCCACGCAAGTCTTGTTTGTAGTGAAGTCGAGTCAGTGGAGCATGACGGAGCATCTACTTAGCTTCATCATCTTGCAGTGGATTTATGATGAGTTTAGGCAAGACACGCTCGTGAAAAGACATGAACTCGATGTAATACCCTGCAATGGCATGAGACGGTACATCTATGCGCAGCGGTAAGTGGACGACGCTTCGGTTAGACTGTCAAATATGACTCATAAAGCTCCAACAGCACAGCAAATCTCAGACGTAGTGGTCTTCAGCCTCTTTGAGCAAGCGCAGCTTCAGTGCTTTTCACCGCATTTCACTACCATCGCTGCGCCAAGAACAAAACTGAAACTCTAGAAAAAAGTCAATTGACAGTTCGCTAGCTAACCCTATTCAATCTGAAGCCTGTACTTCCCATAATTCCCATGAAGGTACACGATCGCAGCTCCAGATTCCTCTCTAGGTGTTATTGTATGAAACTCTATGGTCTCTCCAAACCTTCCCGACGTGTCCTTTAAAAACACTGCTGCACCGGGTCTTTGCAAGTTCACCCACGGTGTTGTCGAGCGAAGGTAATGTTCACACAGTTCGAGCACCCTGCTCGGATGCTTCCAGCCATCAAGATCTGCAATGCCGTGTTCGTCGGGTCCTTTAGCGCAGCAGAGTCGTAGGCTGTGGCGAGCACTTGAAGCCGTAACTTGGAGCCCCGAGCTTGTTGTGTAGATGTTCGCTGCCGTTGTTGTCACAGAACCCCGCAATGGCTTGCACCCACTGCCCGGTCGTACAATCCGCTGAAAATGTTTCAGCCAACATCACTACAGGTAAACCTGCTTATAACGAACATCCATATAACGAATTACTCGATATAACGAAGTTTTTCTATTCCCCGCTGTCGCTTCATAGAAGCACATGTATTTGCGACCTCTATGTAACAAAGAAACAGGAGGAGACAACCTTGATATAACGAATTTTCCCGATGGGCAATCTAACAATTTCGCTCCGCATTTTGGCATTTTGGTTTAAGCATGCATCTACCGCGGCTGCCCTGCCGCTGACAAAGCGCCAAGTGGTGGCGGTGGGCATGCGGGCCGAGTCCGCGTGAGGCGGGCCTGCACCCCAAAAGCCGGCGTTGTCGCCGTTCTCACTGCCGCTGTCACACGCGCGGGTGTGTCCCTCCCTTACTTTGAACTAAAATTAAGAGAAAAAACTTTTACGTTGCTGTGCCACGTTTTTAGTTAGCGTCACATATCTGGGGCCTCACTGCATTTGTAGGGCACTTTGCCGAATAGTTTTCCGCAGTATCTGTGTCTGTGTCGTTCGCTGTTCATTTTCGACGCCATGTGGGCGTGCATACTTTCACTCTGCGCACATAGTGTGGGCCCCTGATGACATTCAGCTTTGCTTTTTTTTCTTGATTGTGATAGCAATTATGTATATGGACAGTCTCTGCTTGTTTTTGTCGCCGTAATTACCGTATATGCATCATGTATATATATAGATCTATAGATATATATATGAAAACTCAAGAAAAAAAAGTCACCCGTGCTCGGTGAGGGGGTAAGCCATAGCGCAGCCATTTTACAGAAAAGTATAGCAGGTTAAAGTTAAAGTTAGGATGAGAGAAAGGAGTAGAGAGGGCAATATAGAAAGCTAGAAAAGTCATGAAAAAAGTCGGTCTGTTTACCAGCTGGTGGCATTCGCTGGCCAGCTCTGTCGTTTACTCATATTTTAAAGACGTGGATTTGGCTTCCATTTTTTAATTTGCCTAGTGACAAAATCCGTGGATTTTTCACAGGACAATCTATTGTAAATCCACACATTCAGGTTTAATGAGTATGTCTGGTGGATATTGCCACACACTTAATCTGCCTGAGTAAAAGAGGGAGACAAGGACGCAGTAGTTCCCGTGCATGTGCCTTTGTTTTGGCTGTGCTGTGCCGACCGCTCTCGGGACTTAAATCTTGTGTAGCCGCTTTATAAACGCCGCCTTCATTTAGAACTTGACATTTTATGGGTGGAGGTGCTGGGTATCATGACCTGTTCAACAGTCTCCTCCCAGTAGCAGGAACGCCAAAGCTGGAGCTTACGCCAGCACAGTGCTAGTCAGAGAAATCGGGGTCTGGCCCCTGAGTGTGTGCCTTGCTCTGCAACTTCAATGTTGACAGGTATGGAGGATGCTACTGCTACCTTTTCTGCTTCTGTAGCTGCAGCAGCCGCTGAAGCTTCACCAGCTTAGGTATTATACGCTGCAAAAACCCTGCTTGTCCAGTCCCGTGGTAGTATTTCTGAAAATGTGGAAGACTGGCTGGCTGAGTTCTAGCACATAGCGGATTTTAACAGGTGAGACGAAGTAGCGAAGCTCAGGAATGTGTATTTCAGCCTTCTGGATAGTGCTCGTACATGGTTCCAAAACCACAAGGGCCTCCAACGTCATGGCGCGAGCTCTGTCGCAGACTTCTGGACACGTGCTCGAGCCCTGATCGTCGAGAGCGAGAGGAATGGGCCCTTTAGTCCTGCAGTCAGATGCCTAATGAAAGTGTTGCCATGTACGTGGAGGACGTGGTCCGTCTTTTCAATCAAGCCTGTTTAAACATGCCGGAAGCCAAGGTGCTGTGTCACTTAATGCGGAGCGTGAAGGAACAGCTCTATGGGGGTCTTATTCGTAGTTTATCCAAAACGGTTGTGGAGTTTTTCACTGAAGTCATCGCCATGGAGAAGGCGCCGCAGCAGCGGAACCAGTATGATCGGCAAGTGAACGTAACCAACACCATCGGCCATGGATCATTTCCGACCGATGTGGAAGCGCTCTGTGAGCTTACAAGTTTGGCCGTCCGGAACGAGCTGCAACAACTGCACCAGGTGCAGCAGCAGCTGACTACTAACTGCAAAGACAGCCTCATACATGATGAAGTCCAGCATGCGCTCGGCGGACCTTGTTACGAGACACCTGTTCAATTTTTTCTAGTCATGAAAAACCAACTAGCCCAACACCTCATTTTGCTAACACCTGTTCAGCTTGGTGCACCACTTCATGTGTTCACAGGTTCCAGTCAACTTTGACACGTGACGTACGTCTACGTTCCGAGACGCACTGCCTCGTGGACAGTGACACCTCCTGTGAGTGGTGGCTTCCAGCATGCTAATTATGCCGACACATTTGAATACTACTCACCTGCACCAGCAACGATACCCACAGCAACCCCGTATGCTGCACTGAAGTCTGCACAGGTGATGCCTTATTTCGAAGACACTCGGCCCGTCGCACGTAAATCTGACATTTGGCACATGCTCGGTCGAAGACCGCTTTGCTACCACTGTGGTGAGGCGGATCACATGTATCGAGAGTGCAAGTACCGCGGACTTAGACTTTAGTGTTTTCCTGCAAATTCATCTCGTCTCTGGGTCGGACAGTGCCCACCCGAGAACGAACATTTTCTCGCTCGGCAGCGTATACTACCCAGGTGCCAGTCGTGTTCACCCTCGCCACGATCATCATTCTATTTGGGCAACAGGAATTGGATGTCACTGGGACGATCTCCAAGCCCTCACCTGGAAAACTGACGTCAGCGACCTCTCGAGGCGGGGCCTCTGATTCTGACGTGTTGAAGACCTCGACCTCCAATCGACAAGACCTCGGACCGACGGCACTTTGAAGATGCCTGTATCTCAGCCTGGTGACCTTTCAATAGACATACCTTTGCTCATCGACGGTCGAAACGTAACAGTCTTGGTAGATACTGGTGCTGACTACTCGATTAATAACGGAAAAATAGCAAGTCTAATGAAAAAAGTTGTCACGCCGCAGACAGAGTCGCATGTACGCACAGTTAGAGGACATGTTGTCAAGCCCCTCGGTGTGTCTTTTTCCAGGCTGAAAATTATGAAAATACAAAGTTCCACGTTTTTGGTTACCTCCCTTGTGCTACATTAATGTTCCCGCGAATTGATTATCGGAATAGACTTTCTTTGGGAATACGGTGCCATAATTGACTTGCGCAGATGCTGAATTTCATTTTCTACAGCCAAGGCTATGTTAAAAGATACCTGCTGTTGTACCGCCTCTGATCATGTTTTTGACGACAGCATCACAATACTACCTCACGCGAGTATCATCATCCAGGTGCACGAGTGCACAAGTGATGGTGGAGCACGGGCAGAGTGCACCTTCTTCCTTTTATTAGCGCTTGGAATTTGTGTGGCAGGATACATCAATGAAATTGAGAATGGCTTCACGCCGCTCCATCTTCTATACAGCCGTGATGTCCTGATGATGTTGAGTGCCATGCTTCCAAGTGACATGGGCAGAAT